AAAAAGACAAAAAAAAAATGAGATTTTATGGAAAAATTTGATGAATTAATTTTCAATAATTAATAAAAAAAATGCTAATTTTCTTTAGAAACTATCAAAAAAATATTTTTTGGAAAATTTAAGGAAACTTCTGGAAAGTTTTAGAAACTTAAGGAGATTAAAGGAAACATAAGTAAATTTACGGAAACTAAAGGATACTTAAGGAATTTTAATGAAACTTTTGGAAATTGAAGGAAATTTAAGAAGACTAAAAGAAAATTAATTAAATTTATGAAAATTAAAGAATACTTGAGGAAACGTAAACAGTGTAATAGAAATTTACAAAACTTTAAGGAAATTAAATAATACTTAAGGAAAACAATAAATAACTTGAAAAAGATAAAGACAAAAAAAATGAGATTTTTATGGAAAAAATTGATGAATATTTATAAACACAAAGCGAAATTTCAAATTAATGTTCAATAATTAATAAAAAAAATGCTAATTTTCTTTAGAAACTATGAAAAAAATACAATTTTTATTATAAAAAAATAATCTTAAGATTCTCTCGGTTTTTTTTTTCTCCAGCTGGTCGTGAAACCTTGCCACTCTCTGTTTTTGACACAATTAAATTGTCCAATTAACTAACTCGTTTGTATTGAACTTATTTTTCATGTAAAATGTTAATTTTTCTTCTGATAAAAAGATTGCAAAATTGCTGACGTCAAAGTGGGGAAAAAAAAATGTAAGAGCGTTAATGGATTTTGATTAGTTGGATGATAATTTTCAAAAAAATAAGCAAATTTTATTATCTTAAGGCGTTGTTGAAATTAATTCAGTAATTAATTTCTCATTTAATAATGTTATTTGGCCGTGAAAGATAAAAGCATAATTTAAATTCGCATTAAATTTATTATAGTGAACTTTTTTATTTATTTACAATTTTATTGATGAGTAAATTAGTTAATAATTAATGTCTGAGAAGATGGAAAAAAACTCAATAGATTTGATTAATTTGTTGATATCAAAGTCAATTAATTAAGAATTATTGTCTAGAACAGTGGTTCTCAAACTTTTTAGGTTCGCGACACCCTTTTGGACATAAAAAGTTTTTGCGACCCACATTTTGAGAATCACTGATGTAGAAGATGGAAAAAATCAATAGAAAAATGTAGTTTTCATTTTCCAATAATTTCATTTTTTTTTTAAATTTCTAATCTTGAAGTTGGAAAATTTATACGAAAATTCCAAATCAATTTGATGATAATTAATAATTTTCAAATTTTACTATTGTTCAAGATTCTTTGAAAGAAAGTTTTGTCGGTTGATGTAACGAATTCTTTTGCTGGTGATGACCAATAAATTTAAGTACTTTACGTAAGATTCTCGCATTGTCTGCATGTAATGCGCTTCAGAAGCAACAGAAATGAGGCTCATTTTGTACAAGAAATTCCTACTCCAAAAAAAAAAATCAAAAACAAAGAGAGAATGGATTTAGGATATTCAAATAAAAAAAGTAGAATTTTTGCATGAAATTATTTTTTTTTTCTTCTTATAATTAACATCATTTCATATTAGCACTTAACGTCGAGTGTTTATTAATAGTTTTACGACTTAGGGTAAATAAGTGAAGAAACTAATCGGTATTTCCCAACTTATGAAATGCATCATCCTTCCACCATTAAAACCGTTGCAAATTATGATTTTTTTTTTGTTCACCTTTCCAAATCTGTGTCAAATGTCTATAAAGTATATTTCATTAGATTACGATAGTTAAGCAATTTATTTAAAGGATAGTACTTGAATTGGTGATTTTCTACAGGAAACTTAAGTTTAAAACATTTTTAAAATGTATATAAAAAATAAACAAAAGTTAAACAATTTGTCTCAAGGTTGATACTTGAATTGGTGATTTTTTTTTGTGTAAATTTACTTTATTGAACTGAAATCGTTGTAATAAATGTCAATACAAATCGAAATGAAACCGGATTAAACTTGTACAATTATAATTGTGGATTTAAAAAGTATTGAACGTTAATTGCTGGAGGACAAAAATAACTTGAAAGACGAAAGAGGAAGAAATTATTCTTTGTAAATTGATTCAAATCATTTAATCGAGTCTGCATTTTTGAAGTCCTTACATCCATTTTATCGAAATTTTCCAATATTTCAGATTGTTATTTTGAAAATATGATCAAATTTCATTTGTGGAAACTTTGGAAACGTGTAAAAAAGTTGCGCAAATCGTGTTAACTGGAGTTTCTACATGCAGACCTTAAAAAATATTGAGATTCTCGTTACCTCAGTGTGTATAAATAGTAAATGAGTAAACATTGAAGATCTTCGAGAGAAAGTGGTGATTCTGTCTCTAAATGCAAGAAGTTTTAGTATATCCAGATTTCTGAAAACGCAAAAATTTCTAAAACTTGTGGACAAATTTATGATCTCAGCCTTGTAATTTCACAATTTGATTTTGGAAATCTTAACATGAAGATATCTTAAAGTTATTGAACTCTTAACTGGATGATAAAGAAGGTTTAACCTTGAACTTGATGGAATTCTGAATAAACTAAAAGTTGTTTAAAACTTAGCTCACAAACAAATATTGATGATCAATTTTATTGGGAACTTTTAACTATATTTTATTCTAATTTTACAATTTAGTTTTGTAAATCCAAACGTATTTCTAAGTTGAAGATTTTAATATATTTAAATTTGATTTTGAAAAGTTCTAACCTTGAACTTGATGTATTTCTGAAGATTCTAGAAGTTGTCTTAAACATAGACAATTCAAGCAACAAGCACAGCAGAAAGATTATCTTGATTGATGATCAATTTTGCGTCAAAAAAACCTTGCGAGAATTGCTTATAATTGCTAATAAAATCAATAATATAAAAATTACACATCGTCTTTTGCATTGAAGTCTGTTTGCTGTGAAAAATGGTCGGGGAGATTAGAGCATTTTCTCGTTTCTTCAAAGGCAAAAAAAAATGAGTGCCGTCAAAAAGAGACCAAGGCTAATTGATGCAAGGCGCACAACTACTGTACATTGACAATAATAATATTATTGAATCACAGAGGCAAAATCGAACGTAAACAAAAAAAATAAAATAATTATAAACATTACGAAAGAGAGGTTTCTGTCGTTTCCTGGACCAAATGAACTCTTGAATGAAAGGTCAAAGATTAAGTCCTCCACTATGATTAATTTACATGAAGAAATGGAGTGCTTATGAATTTAATTAATTTTAATAGATTAGTTTATTAATAGAAAATTTCGCATCTTTTTTAATTATTAATTTATAAAGGAATATATTTTTAATCAATGGAATATTTTTAAATCAAATTTATTGATTTTCTCTTGCAAATTTTTGTCAATGCTTTGAATGATGCATTAATTACTTGGATTAAAGTACAATTGGTAATCGAATATTTTTCGTTTGGTTTTGCTTAGATCATAGAAATTTCATTATTTTTATTTTGTTTGCGCTCAGTCAAACTTTTCATAGGCAAAGAGAAAATAAAATACACGTGGAAGTACAGAAAAAATGAGGTTAAATAAATCTTTCACCAAAATTATGGGAAATATTGATTGGAGAAGTCATCTTTTTTTTAGGTCATTTTCGCAAATTTTTACAAATTGTTTCTAATTATTTTTGTTCTAATTATTGACTTTGTATATTTGTAGTTTGCATTTATTGAAAACAGTTTTAATGCACTAATTGCACTAATTATTAAGTAATTATGACGTTTTTGTTTTAAATATTTCAGTTTATTGTTATGAAAATACACACTTTGTTAAAATAAGGAAGTTATACAATCTTAGTTTACTGTTTTCAAAATGATGCCTACTTATTTTTTTTTCATTCAAACAAAATAAATTAGATAAAAGATTTAGTTCAATTTTTTTTTTCGATTATTGAAGTGATCAACTTTGATTTAAATAAAAATTGTCATTCAAATTTTAATCTATTTCTTGAAACAATAAGACATTAATTTATTCTGATATTGATTTGACTAATTAATTACGAATTTAGATCGGAAATATTTCTACCACTTTACATCCGTTTTTATAAATATTTGTTGTATTTTTTTCCTTCTTTTTCAAATTTTGATTGCAAAGGTTTACACATAATTATTCCACGTAAGGAAGGAATAATTGTATTCTAATAACTGTACATTTTCTTATTTGCTTGAGATCAACAAAGACTGGGATTTTTGTTGAAGTGCGAATGTATTCATCTGCATATGCATTTTTCAAACACTTTTGTTAGTATTCATTTAACAAATGTGAATTTAGGAATTTTAAGTGACTTTCAAAATTGATTATTTTAATAACTTTTATATTCAATTTATGAGAATTTATTGATATTTATGTATATATTTAAGATTTTCTAAAAAACGTTTAATTTATTATTTGCATTTTAGAAATTTTATTATAATAATTTTTTGCATTGGAAAACTGATGACGTTTTAATATTAAAGTTAATGAAAAATTATAAGTTTTCGTGATTTTTTTAAGAAAAATCGCTTATTTTTTTTAAGTAATTTCATTTTTGAAGGAAATTGGTGTAAATTAAGTTTTTTTTTAAATAATTAATTAAAAGTTGATTTCAAGATTTTTATTTAAATGTTTGTATTGAACATTTATTTTTACATTTCCAAGAAAAATCAATAGGAAAATGATTGAGACAATTCTAAATATTAATAGAAAACTTTAAAATGGAAGTTTTTTTTTTATTAAATAATATTTTAACTTACTTTTGTATTTTTTCCTTAAATGATTGTTATCCCTGTTATTATTTGCATTTTAGAAATTTTATTATAATAATTTTTTTGAAGGAAATTGGTGTAAATTAAGTTTTTTTAATAATTAATTAAAAGTTGATCTCAAGATTTTTATTTAAATTTTTGTATTGAACATTTATTTTTACATTTCCAAGAAAAATCATAGGAAAATGATTGAGACAATTGTAAATATTAATAGAAAACTTTAAAATTGAATAAGATTTGAACTTACTTTTGTATTTTTTCCTTAAATGATTGTTATCCCTGTTACGTTTTTGGTTTTTCTGTGCGTTCCTCACGAAATTGTCTTCTTCATGTTCGAAGGCGCGCGTTGCCACCGACGAGTAGGACCTTCCCAGGATGCGACTCCAAACACCGATTGCGTCCTTCATCCTTTTGCGCAAACCCAAATGTAATCACCAAATGTATACAAAATAAAAAATCACACTCTTCCTTTGCTGAAGTATCACAACCCGAATGATCACAAGAAAGTGGTGAATACGTTTCTGTTCTTCCGAAGAAGTTTTCTTTGTGAGCGGAGCGCGCGAGAGGATATATTCAAATGCGTGCCTCGGACAGGTCTATTTAGCGAGCGCTCGGTATTCGGTGCTTTTATTTATCGGAGATTGTCTTGGGCAGACAGAGTGTGTTGTGTATTCCCACCACTTTCACTGCAATGCATACAACTATCAGCACGCACTTCGTCGCTCCGACACAGGTAGGCAATTTGCGCAAATCGGGTATAGCGGAAGTCCTACTGATCCTTGAAGTGGATTTAAACGCAAAGCTCCAATTGCTTCAGTTTTGATCCTCAAGATATTTTATAAATCAATGAGAAACTTAGTAAACTTAGTCTCAAATTTAGAACATTTATGCAAAGTAATATTGAATTATTTCCTAAAACATACAAAATCAATGAATAAGATTGAAAATATCATCATGATGTTTGTAAATAAAGTTATTTAGTTACATTTATTTTAAAATTTCCTTTTTCAATCTTTAGTAAATTTGCTTAACATTGCGTAATATTGAAGCACATACTGAAATCAATGGAGAAGATAGAAAAATTAAAAATATCTTCAGGATGTTTGTAAATAAAAACACAAACTTATTTAGTTTAGTTCATTTATTTTGCAACTTTGCTCACTTTATTACATTTGTATGTAGTAAATATTGAAGTTAATATCGAAATCAATCCAGGAAAATCGAAACGGCGAAGTTCGAGGATGGATCACCAAAGGGTTAAAGGAAGAGCGCTCTCATTGAATTGCCACGAACTGGCATTGCGCGAAATCGAGTTAACTTTAGAGCGAAGCATCCCCGATTAATTGGCGTGGAGAGAATTCGCAATCATGCAAATGCCATTCGCGACCCCTCGACGATTTTCCCTGAGTTGAATACCTTTTACCATTGAAAAAGAAGCAAAAAAAAAATGTATAAGTATAACAGTTCTTTTTTTGTTGATTTGTTACATATTATCGCTTACTTAAAAACGCGGAAATTGGTGCAAGAAATATAAGTTTCTTTGAAAAATAAAATTTGCATTGTAATATTCCAAATTGATATGCAAAATTATGTTTATTGGTGCAAATTGGAAAAAATAATTTCCACAAATTTTATTATTTCAACTATATTAAAACTACGCAAAAGATATAGTCAATGAAATATTATATTTATATTCGGAAATTTGTGTAAATTTTGCAAGAAATACAAGTTTCTTTGAAAAATGCAATTTGCACCAATTTGCGTTTGAATAAATGAAACTAATATAGTTTTTGTAATATTCCAAATTAATATGCAAAATTATGTTAATTTTTGGAAATTGGTGCAAATTGGAAAAAAATAATTTCCACAAATTTTATTATTTCAACTATATTAAAACTACGCAAAAGATATAGTCAATGAAATATTATGTTCATGTTCGGAAATTTGTGTAAATTTTGCAAGAAATACAAGTTTCTTTGAAAAATGTAATTTGCACCAATTTGCATTTGAATAAATGAAACTAATATAGTTTTTGTAATATTCTAAATTGATATGCACAATTATGTTAATTTTTGGAAATTGGTGCAAATTGGAAAAAATAATTTCCACAAATTTTATTATTTCAACTATATTAAAACTACGCAAAAGATATAGTCAATGAAATATTATGTTCATGTTCGGAAATTTGTGCAAATTTTGCAAGAAATACAAGTTTCTTTGAAAAATGCAATTTGCACCAATTTGCATTTGATTAAATGAAACTAATATAGTTTTTGTAATATTCCAAATTGATATGCAAAATTATGTTTATTTTTGTAAATTGGTGCAAATTGGAAAAAATAATTTCCACAAATTTTATTATTTCAACTATATTAAAACTACGCAAAAGATATAGTCAATAAAATATTATGTTCATGTTCGGAAATTTGTGTAAATTTTGCAAGAAATACAAGTTTCTTTGAAAAATGCAATTTGCATCAATGAAACTAATATAGTTTTTGTAATATGCAAAATCATGTTCATTTTTGGAAATTGGTGCAATAATTTCGACGAATTTTATTACTTCAACTATATTAAAACTATGCAAAAGATATAGTCAATGAAATATTATATAATATGTTCGGAAATTTGTGCAAATTTTGTTCAAAAAAATAATTCAATATGTTTAATAAATTTAATTTGCACCAATTTTTATTTTAACTTTAAAAATTGTTGCAAATTGTGTATCTATTTTATAATATTTTACCTTTCAATTATATAATCTAAAGAAAACAGTTTGTTTTTCCAAAAAAAAAGCAGGCTTAAATTGAAATATAATTGCGTTTATTTTCACAAATTGCTGCAAATATTGGCGAAGGTCGCAAAACAGCAAAAAAAAAGTGCCAATTCCGGGTCTAACGATGCATAATTACGTAAAATTTCGCTACCAAAATATTCAATACGATTTGTTACCATGAAATGCTTCAATTTTAACTTTTACTCTCTCTCTCACATCATTAAAACTTAATGATTGTCTGCGTGCGTAAATCAGTTTTGAATGCATCACGTTTCTTTATAACAATTTCGAAGATTCAATGGAAGATAGGATTAGTTAACTGTTGTTTTTGGGGATTCCCAAAATCGTCTGTTAACCGGATTCAGATAATCGAATAATTATAAATAGCTCCAATATTTAAACTGTGATAACATTTGTTATCTCTAGGAATATTCAATTGATATTTCTATGTTTCCTAAGAATAGTTAGTTTATTTTACTAAAACGCCCTCGATTCTTGGAAATCTTTTGTCATCCATTCATTCCTGAACGTTACTCATCACTTTGTTACCAAGTATTTACATGTATGGTTTTTTTCATTATATTATTTTTAGGAAGTTCCACGTCCTTAGCATTTACCACAATCCTTGCAAATTATGTGCAAACCCATCAATCATACTGGATTCAATCGAAATCTGTTAAAAAAACTCAAAACTTTCATCGTGATATCAAATTTTTGCTATGCAATCTTTGCATCATTTTTTCACAAACGAGTTGCATCAATTACAGATCTGAAACGTAGAAGCGTTCGTGATTGACAGCTTGATTTGCTTTCACTGTGATGAGCAATAAAAACAAATCGATTCGATTGGAAATGTTTGTGTGTAAATTATACATGAAACGAGTTGATATTTAAATCGAAAGAAATAAAGAGGAGGCTCGAACGAAACAATAAAAATAACAGAGAAAGGACGACGACTTCTTGAAATTATTCATAGCCCCATTACGCTTAAACACACATAAAACATTTTGAAGTTCAAATTTTTCCATCGATCCGTGCATTCCATTCGCTTCTGTTTTATTTACAACAACAAAATAAAACGCACGTTGCTCCGGTAGTTCCAACTCCGGGTTCAATTTCCAAGATACATATTAAAAGTCAATATATAATAGCTTCGTTTTTTTTTTTTGCAATTCAGTAATTTGTTGTGTCAAGCAAACAAGATCCTAAATTTTTCTTATTATATTTTATCGATTTGGGATGAAAAATTAACACTCAAAAAAGCAGTTTCTTTACAACTTATTGATTTCCTCGGAAACTATAATAGATTGAATTGATTCAATAGAAGTTTAGAAGAAAATAATAATTGGTTAAAAATAAATTGATATGTATTCTAATCGGAATAGATTTGTTGAATTTGCAATTTGCGCATCGTAATTTCCGTTCGGATCACTGATTTCGAGCTCATTTGCAATGATTCATTTAACTGACAGTTTACTTGTCACATTTTCGAACCATCTGTCATTTGAATTAGATTTAAATTTCATGTTTTCACGCGCGCAACATAATCGATCCAACTGACAATTTACTTGTCAAATTTTGAATGCATCTGTCATTTTTGTTCAGTATTAAATTCTGAATCAAATCTGTTTTAAAACTAGATATAAATTACAGTTTATTTGTCAAATTCATATTTCACTTTATTTATAACGTTCTTAAAACTCATGTGTTATAAGCGATTGATTGTAATCTGACAGTTGACAGATGTCAAATTCTAAATTTAATCTAAATGACAGTTTACTTGTCAAATTTTAAATCCAGCTGTCATTTAAAACTCATATTTTGTTCTATCCTATTTGTATATAATTTTATCAGGTTTGAAATGCATATTTATTACTGGAACAATGATCGATCTAAATGTCAGTTTATCTGTCAATTTCTTAATCCAGATGTCTAAAACTCGTGGATTGTACGCAAATTATAATCACTTTAACTGACAGTTCATCTGTCAAATTTTAAATACAGCTGTCATGTAAATTAGATCCGATTCTCACCATTTATAAGCGAATTATAATTAATCTAAATGACAGTTTACTTGTCAAATTTTAAATCCACCTGTCATTGAAATGCATATTTATTACTGGCACAATGATCGATCTAAATGTCAGTTTATCTGTCAATTTCTTAATCCAGCTGTCTAAAACTCGTGTATTATACGCAAATTATAATCACTCTAACTGACAGTTCATCTGTCAAATTTTAAATTTAATCTAAATGACAGTTTACTTGTCAAATTTTAAATCCAGCTGTCATTTAATACTCATATTTTGTTCTATCCTATTTGTATATAATTTAATAAGGTTTGAAATGCATATTTATTACTGGCACAATGATTGATTTAAATGTCAGTTTATCTGTCAATTTCTCAATCCAGCTGCAATGATTGATTTAAATGTCAGTTTATTTGTCAATTTCTTAATACACTTGTCTAAAACTCGTGTATTATACGCAAATTATGATCACTCTAACTGACAGTTCATCTGTCAAATTTTAAATCTATCTGTCATTTAAAATTCATATTTTGTTCTGACCTATTTGTATATAATTTAATCAGGTTTGAAATGCAAATATTTATTACTGGCACAATGATCGATCTAAATGTCAGTTTATCTGTCAATTTCGTAATCCAGCTGTCTAAAACTCGTTTATTGTACGCAAATTATAATCACTCTTACTGACAGTTCATCTGTCAAATTTTAAATTTAATCTAAATGACAGTTTACTTGTCAAATTTTAAATCCAGCTGTCATTTAATACTCATATTTTGTTCTATCCTATTTGTATATAATTTAAGCAGACTTGAAATGCATATTTATTACTGGCACAATGATAAATCTAAATGTCAGTTTATCTGTCAATTTCTCAATCCAGCTGTCTAAAACTTCTGTATTATAAGCAAATTATAATCACTCTAACTGACAGTTCATCTGTCAAATTTTAAATTTAATCTAAATGACAGTT